GGTGTTATATTTCTGGATAATAATGTCTGCGTATTGCCTCGAGCAGTTTTTCAAAATAATTATGATCCTTTTTAGCCTCGACTCATGCTTATTCCTTCCACTTGATAAAAGCTTTAAAGACTTGGCTGAACCCGTCGACTACACCATAGACGTTGCCGTAGGCTAAACACATTTCTACCGGTTTTCAATCATTTGAGAGGGCCTGATCTCGGCCACGGTTCTTTTAGAAAATTAATAACGAGAATGTAATCTGGCCACTCGCTACTGTAGACAGTTTCTCATCAGTGTTGGTACATACTAAATTGTCAGGAAGTTAGTAGATCGAAGGGCGAGTATATTGTTATCTTTTATAAGTAATTCATTTTACTCAAGAAACTGCCAAAATCTGTTGTTTACAAGTGTAACACTGTCTGAAACGACTCAAGTACGACGCGGTTCGATTTTTATCTTTCAATAATCAAAATTGTTGATATGGAGCTGTGACGTCACATCTGGCCATTTGTGCAGATACCTGAAGTAAATTAAGTCAAATAGTTAAATTTGTCTTTTGCTGAAATATAAAAACAGTATTTTTATTAGATAGCTTGTAAAACATGACAGCTAATTATCTCACGATTCGGTACTATATCTAGCCACATATGTCCTACTCTCTGCTATATCTAGCCACATATGTCCTACTCTCTGCTATATCTAGCCACATATGTCCTACTCTCTGCTATATCTAGCCACATATGTCCTACTCTCTGCTATGCCCTACAATAAATACTATATACAATCGCCTCTTGTTATATTCCCCACAATACAGGTAAACGCAATTTATCGTCACTTTTTATGCCACACAATACAAGACCATAAATCATTAAACCATATATCGACACTTGTTTTCACCACATGTCTTAGTTTGTCTCACATTACAGTTAAGCGTCAAGTGTCTGCACTGCCGCACACCGAACAATTAAATGCAATATCTCGCCACTTACTTTACCCTACAGTACAGTTCAACGTCATATTTCTCCAACTTTTATGTCCTATAATAGGGAAGTTCTCTCTTGCCGAGTGGTATATTGCGGCTAGTATTTTACCAGGGTTACATACTCCCCCTCCAGGAAATAACTCGTCCTCGAGTTTCCAGGGGTTACAGCGATGCTGGTGGGGCATGGCTAAGTACTAATCCCGGGTCCCTACATGGGCGCCAATGTAACAGAGGTCATTTGTCATCTCAATGCCTCCGCTAGGAATCGAACTCGGGACTCCTGGCTTACTAGTCTGACGCTCAACCAATTGAGCTAAAGAGAAGTTCTCTCTAGCCGAGTGGTATATTGCGGCTAGTATTATGTCCTACAATACAGATTAACCTCACATCTCGCCAATTGTTATGTCCTTCAATACAGATAAACGCCACATCTCGCCAATTGTTATGTCCTACGATACAGATAAACGCCACATCTCGCCAATTGTTATGTCCTACGATACAGATAAACGCCACATATCGCCAATTGTTATGTCCTACGATACAGATAAATCTCACATCTCGCCAATTGTTATGTCCTACAATACGGATAAACGTCACATCTCGCCAATTGTTATGTCCTACAATACAGATAAACGTCACATCTCGCCAATTGTTATGTCCTACAATATATGTTTACTCATTTGCCGCCGTGTTACGAATTAAACGTCATACTTCGCGAATGATTTTGTCTAACGATTCCATTGAACGTTTAAGATATCTTCCACTTGTTACATACGAGGTTTCACATTCTACACGAGAAACTAATATTTTAACATTTTATTTGAAACTGATCGAGATGTTTTGGTGTAAATGTGATATTTCCAAAAACTGAATTTCGCCTTTTCGCTGGTCACGTGAACGGAAGCCACGTAAATTTTTGATTGAATTCGATGTCTATTAGTTAATCACGTAAGCTTTAGTGACTATAAATTATTAGATATAACCCATATGTTTTAAAGTACATTTAAAATGTTTGATAATGGTAACTGGCTATTACCATGCATTAAAACGGCATTGATAGGAATTGCGTCACTTCCGGTACTATGCATTGATGGTGGATGGCGACTTTGCATTCCGAATTCCGATACAGTTTTTTTTCACAAGTTCCATTTTTTGTAGATAGCCGTTGCTTTGCTATGTGAGTAGATCACACCTAGCCATCGACAATGGCCGTCTGGTTGAACTGGTAATATGTGGTCTGTGTATTTGGATACCTAAGAGTTGTATGCCTGTAACCTTTTAATATAGTCTCGAATGTAAACAATCCCCTGCTCGGGGCAAAGATTTTGAAGCAGGAATAATTAGACAGAAATCCTACACGGAGAATGGCCAAAAGCCTAATACGTTCTCATTTCTAAATGAAAATCTACCACCCCGCGGCCCTGCTTCTTCAGTTAAAATGCAATTCGCTGAAAACATTGATTTTAGTGTCAGTGTTGCCGGAGGGTACAGGATAAAGATTTTAATTGGAGCGCGTATGACGGTGAAAGGTTTGGATAGAATTATAGCCAAAGGAACCACTTTTAAGAAGCAGAGATAATAGCCTGGAGCCAGCTTAATGAGACACTTGGTGTCGTACCAGCCGATAAAGCATATCAAAGTAGATTTTCTTTATGTACTGACTTCTTAGTACTCAGTGGACCCCCGTCCCACCCTGTCAAAACGACGGCACCATTTAAATACCCTCGTAAACATATCCGAAAAACTTAGGGATTAAATATTTAATTCTTACACCCCGTAGGGTTAATTGCGAAATATTTTTGACATGAGATGTCAAGGGAATGGTCGTAATTAGTTTTGTAAAGACCTTCCTACTTTCAGTAAAAAAGTTATCGGAAAATTAGATTTTATTATTATTAAATATTGAAGCAATATCGATGATGACTTGGGGAGTGATTTAATTCCGCGGTAGAAATGGTTTGTACAATGGCGTACCACTAGCACGGCATTAGATTGATAAAACGGTGAGGTTTTCGATTTTTGGATAAAAACAATGATAGACAATTGTAATAGAAGTTGACGGTTTGAGAAGTCTGTTTGGCCTTACAGGGGTGTTATATAAATTTGATAAAATTCCTTCAGTAAATTTATATGTACGGATTTTGAAGTCCCAAAGTTTGAGTGCTTGGCGTCGTAGTTGTAACTCTATTGGAAGAAGTCTTAGTTCAGCGATTATAATAAGTGAAAACAGTATACACATCTCCTTTCACGACGTTGGACATGACAATGGAATAGATGTGTCCCTATTCATGACGAACGAGGTATCAATAGAGTTGATGTGTCTTGTCTCATGACGTTAGAGGTGACAATACAACAGACGAGTCAATTTTCATAGAGTACGAAGGACTAATGACATTGTGCCCTTTTTCCTTTTTTTTTCTTTTTTTTTCTCTTTTTATTTTGAGATGAAAATACAATAGGACAATAGAGGTGTCCCATTTAATGACCTGCTAAATGACAATGACAGGCGGCTGGTCAAGGTTACCACCAGAATACGTCGCAGCTGGCCATGAACGAGGGGATGAGGGGTAGGGTCGTCGTCATACAGATTCATCCCTGACCAATATTTAAAAAAAAGCGTAGCCGAATCGACGTTGTTACAATCTATGATCTTTTTCTATAAGCTGTTTACCATCTCGTCACACTATAACCAGCTCGTACACTACTTACGCCTCACCGTGTCCGATGAAGGTGGCCTTGCAGTCATAGAAATGTCACACTCAAATCTTCTACTGGTTATAAAAAAAACTTCTGTTCTATTAAGTAACACAACCAAGCTGAAGAAAGCGTTCCGTAAAATATATGTGTCTCCTTTTAGGACGTATTAGGCGACAATACAAAAGATTCATGACATATGATGGACCAATGCACGTGTCTCCTTTTATGACATGTGAGAGGACAAAATAATTGATTTCATGACAAAGAATGGAACAATACAAAAAATAGTCCCCTTTAATGACGAATGAGAGGCCATTGGTTAGATATGTCTCCTATATATTGTGAAGTAACGAGGGTTCAATACAGGTGTCTCTTTTCATGACGCATGCACGAGAAGACAATTCAGTAGATAGTCCCACTTGATGACACATCAGAGAACAATGCAAATGGTATATCTCCTTTCATGACGTTCGAGGGGCCAAAAAAATAGATGTATTCCCTTTCTTTAAGTATGAGAGAGGACAATGCAACAGATGTGTCCACTTTTAAGTAGGTATGACAGGACAATACAATAAATGTGTCCCCTTTAAGTAGGTATGACAGGACAAAACAATTGATGTGTCCCTTTAAGTAGGTATGACAGGACAATGCAATTGATGTGTCCCTTTAAGTAGGTATGACAGGACAATGCAATTGATGTGTCCCTTTAAGTAGGTATGACAGGACAAAACAATTGATGTGTCCCTTGAAGTAGGTATGACAGGACAATGCAATTGATGTGTCCCCTTTCATGACGTATGAGAGGACAATACAATTGATGTGTCCTTTTTCAGGACGTTTGAGAGAGATGTGTCCTCTTATTATAGGACCAATACATAAGATGTGATCGCTATCATGAGATATGAAGTGTTTGGATTGTTTGTCACGTTTTATACAAATACATGTAAATGTATTACATATGCAAAATAAAGAAAATGTCCTTTATCTGAAAAAAAATACAATTGAAGACTTTGACGCATCGTTATTTTTTCACTTTTAACAAATCAGACCTCATAGACTTATTTCTCAACCTAGAAATGTCAGCCAGTGATCGCTCATTTACAGTTATAAAAGTCATGGTTGAAAACGAGATCCGAGACATGAAACCATAGCTACTTAGGGCCGGGGGCTATGGCTCATAGCATCATTGTATGTGTATTGGAATCAAAGACTTCAAAGAGTTTTTGTTTGGATGGTAACGCACGTATATCGATTATATATTGATTGTCCACGTACCTAGGGGACGGGAATCTTCCATAATACTAACTACGTCTTTTGTTTGCCCCTACAGATGCCCCGAGTCCAAGCTAGCACGCATGTTCAATGGAAATATTCCTATCATCCTGGATAGCCTCAAGCAGCATTATTTCATCGATCGGGACGGGAAAATGTTTCGTTACATCCTCAACTATCTCAGATCCTCACGGCTGATGCTGCCCGAAGGCTTCCGTGAATATGACCAGCTTATTGAGGAGGCGAGATACTATGATCTACATGGCATCGTTAGGGAGGTGGAGATTTTACGCAGGTGTAAGAACATCAAAACAGAAAAATCGGAAGTAGGAAATTCAGTTGCTGCGCAAAAGCAGCAACAACCACAGCAGTTGCGCAGTGGCGAGTTTTCCGATTGCATTGCCGTAAGTATAAGTCCCGATCTTGGCGAAAGGATTTCTCTCAGTGCTGAGAAACATCTCTTAGAAGAGGTTTTCCCAGAACTCACTTCAGCTCTAATGGATTCAAGGAACTCAGGGTTTAACTTGGATAATCGTTACGTTATTCGATTCCCTGTTAATGGCTTCTGCAAACTTAATTCAATCCAAGTCCTTCAGCGATTGTTTAACCACAGATTTTTGGTTCACGCGTCCACGGGGGGAGGGGTCGAAGGTCAACAGTTCACAGAATACTTGTTCCTCAGAACCAATTGTAAGTCGCTGTAGAAACGCGTCCTTAACAAACGTTTTCACATGTGAGTACCACGTGTCGGATGAAATGTCATAACAGGTGGTGTTTGTAAATAAACATGTTCTAAGAGAAACTCGTCGCAGGCTTTAAAGATAAGTCATTACAGGTGAAAAATGTAAAGGAAAATGGCGAACCTGATGTTGAACCAAGAGTTCAGAATGTCGATGAAATTTTGAACCGGAGAGTCAGGAGCTCGGAGAATGACCGGGAATAAACTAAAAACGGAGTTCAATGTTTGCTCCAAACTTGTGACGTTAAACATGTCTTTATATTGCAAAGTCGATGTTCTGGTCATTTGACTGATGATAGTCCCATATTTGTGAAGGTTTGCGTGTATTTGTTATTGTTATGTCTATGTATTCCTCTATTGACTGACACGGAACAGAGATTTACGATCAGTGTCCCGGCATTTCACGTAATACGCACGTATTTATGACGCAGAAATTTTGCTGGTCAGCAATTCATGCGTGTTAAAACGAGAAGGGCTCTGATCCATATATCATTTGAAACTTCCAAAATGTTCTTTCTCTTGTGATATCTCTACGGATAAAAATGTTTTTAACAATGATCAAGTCGAAACAAAGTCACCTTTGATGCCGCAATTGATTTTTCTGTCAAGTGTATAAAGAAAAGCGTAAGACAATGGTGAGGAAAACTTAGTTACGTGGACATAAACTAGGTTCATTAACGATAATTGATGAAGTATTAGTACCACGCCGCTCCTAGTTTCCATGTCACGCTTTGAAAATCGATGGATCATTTAGTTCATTTTTTTTTTGTAGCTATATTATGATATTTTGAAATGATTTCTTAAAACGTTCTGTATACTTTATTGCTTTAGTTCATGAATGCTGAACCTCGGCCTGATAATGTGTGATGATGTATATATAAAGGGTTGAAGCCGTATGATCATATTTTACAGATTCCTACCGCGGTTTTATTTAAATGCCCTATCAACAAGTGTTTGGCAAATCTGTTACAACTGTATACCGATACAGAAAACCATTGTTATGAATTGTTTCGTTTTCATTTTTTCTACGAAGAACAAATGCCAATTGTTTTACCTGGAACAGGATCCTGAAATCCATCTGCTTTTACTTCTATTTTGAATGTGCCATTAAAATGATCAAATTTCCTTATGTTTGTTTTTGTATGTTTAACCTGACATGGTGCGGCGTCCGTCTACCGTCGACCGAATATGAACTAATTAATGAAAAAACACATACAGAACCACAGTTTCCACGGCAATGTTGTTTGGCAAATACATATAACTTGCCAGTTAAAATTATCCATAAAGTTCATTGATCTACATTAAGGGTCACATACGTCACATAGGTCAAATGTATCTGACAATATGAACGACCTTTTCTTTAAAAACAAAACAAAGACCGGGGTGATGATATGTTCACTTGCGCTAATGAATGCGATTTCGAAAAACTTCAAAACAAATATTATCTTATGATCCATGACGCGTCTAAGTTTTAGCACATTATCATCAAATAGCCCGCCAGTCAAATCGCTCCTTGTTCGTCCGTCTGTCCTTTATCAATTCATGTTATCGCTATTCCCGAGAAACGCTGGATTGATCTTCTTGAACCATAGGCTCCATTGGGACTGTTCGGAAAAATAAAACGGCCAAGAGGCGGCCATCTTGGATATTTAGTCATAGTTTGTCGTCGCTATTTAAGAAGTATAGGATGGATTAACCTCATTTCATGAGTAGGTTTCTCTTAGTACATAGATGTGTATTGCCATTCGTGCGAACGACTGGAAAAAACAAAAAGGTTGACAGGTGGCCATCTTGGTTTTTATAATCGAAGTCATAGGTTGTTTCCGCTATTTTTAGATGAATCGTCCTAAAATTTCATATTTAATTTCCCTTTAATGCTAACAATTTGATTTTTGATATTCCTGGGTTGTTTCCTCTATTTTTGGAGAAACCCTGGATGAATGATTCAACATATTTAGGTTTCCCCATACTGCCTACATGTGCATTTTCAGCGTGAAATTGATCATGGAAATGAAATGGTCATCTTTGATTATGACAATAAAGTACTGGATGGATCTTTCTTAATTTCCACGTGAAGTTTTCTATTAGTTTCTCATTGTGCATCGTTCATTTATGGACTTAAAAACTGCCAACAGACGACCATCGTTGACTTTTGACAGCCATAGTTTGTTATTGTATTACGAGATTTTATATCTAGGTTATCCTTAGTCACGTGGTGCCTTTTTAATTTTGGGACTGATCAGAAGAAAATGACTCACAGACAGCTATCTCGCATTTTTACAATGAACGATAGTTATCGCAATGTCTTGAGATGGATCTTTCTCAAATCTGAAACATGTACCCCCATTGATCTCTACTTATATCCTTTTGTTTTTGGGAGAGGTCAGAAATGACGAAACGGCTGACGTGCGGCCATCTTAGGTTTTGACAATTAAAAATTGTTATCGCTATTTCCTAATGACTTGACATATATTGGTTACTCTTAATCTTTGTTGTGTCCATTTGATTTTGGGACTGGACAGGAAAACAATATGACCAACAGATGGCCACCTTGGATTTGATGGTTTATTATTAATGTAGCTGTTACTTTGGAGAAATTTTCAAATACAATGTAATCAAGTGCAAAAATAGGGAAAAGAAGAAAGAATATCCAAAACACGAAATAAAGATCAATGGTGGGCGTCAAGTGCCCTCTTGGATCTTGTTATTTCCTTGTTGTTCAGATGCTTCATGTTCTTAAGTCTTAAAATTAATTCAAAACCAAAGGTAATAAAAAATAGATAAATGTTCAAGGTGCATGGATGATGAAACTGAAAAAAGAAGAAAAAAATAATGATAATGACAAAAATCCGAGAAGAAAGCACTGTGGTGCTACAGATATAACATAAAAGTCATCATTAAGTTACCGCCCCTTACACACATCTAGAATGTTTCGGTAATGTAGTTTATTTTCTGACAGTCACGTAAGTTTTATTCAATTTTTAAGCATTTGTTTACTGGTGAGTAAACTGCATTTTTACAGATAATTTAAATGACACGAGTTTTTCACAAATGCAGTTTACATACCAATAAACAACAAAAAGGGAAACAAATATTCCTTACGTTTATATTTTTACTGTCTCTTTTCGATACTTTAACAAGAAGAATAGAACGTTATAAATTGGACGTTGTACGTACGCACGGCCGGAACAGCCGGAACAGCCGGACAACTGATATATAATTAAAATCAACTCTGTTGATTGGGGCAAACAAAGGAGAATAAACACCGAAAACGTTAACATAATGAACTCTGCCCTCTAATACTTTCTGATGACGACGACGACGACGATGACGATGACGAAAAACTAATTTTTGACTTACGACCTAGATATCACATATTTTCTTTTCTAAACACTAATATCACCTTTCAAAATTTATCTTTAACTTAACCACTTTCAGATTAGTCGCTTTCTTATTGGAATTTACATAAAGAATTGGACATAACGAGGAAATGGATGAAGACTAGCGCAAGGAATTCTGGGAAAAGTTTTACAAATCAGGAAACAGATCACCCGACCAAAAGGGTTTGACTCATGTTAGCGAAGATTCTATTTTATAAAAATCTCACAGAGACTGAAAACTACCGTTCAGTCATAATCCTATATGGCATTCAAAACATAAAAAAAACGTGTCATGAGAAATGGACATCGGTTTAGTGACGATACGGTAGTATTTTGCTCCGTTAGCTCCAGGACAGGTCCCAACAGCTGACCAACATTGAAGTCATGCCTAGAGTGTTTTCTTGATAGAAGTGTGGTGCTGAGCGCCATTGTGTATTGTTGATATAGGTAAAGTATTCTATAGCCGATGGGTATATCGCTCATTTCCATTTCAATCATCACAAACGTTACTGATAGTCACTGTGTTAGAAACCTTTATACCGGAAACTGTAATCAAACGTTTAACATGACGACCTAACTATCCGGCAGCAGCGTGCAGCAGCAGTACCACCTTGTTTTCTAAAAGTCACTTCCGGACAATCTATTTCATACGTCAGTTGATCAATACGAAACCTGTAGACATGACTTTGGTTGGGAATATTTGAGTTTGCCCATGGCGTTATCGAGAGATTATGAAAGTCCTCAGAATACGGTTTAGGACCATCCAACCCGAAGGATAGCTGTGCCGTGTGTTAACTATTATAAAAATACTTCGTCTCAAGTTCCACTAGATTGAAACAGTTGAACTTTCCTGCAGTGATTTTGAGATAAATCTGACCTCTGAACTCTGGTGTTATTTTTGAGGGTCGGTCCGAAATTCAATGTGACCGAAATATCATTATGAGACATGATTGCACAAGGGTGGTTTTCCTTAACGCCACACATTTTTAAGCTATCAAGACCCACCAATGGGATTTAGTTCCCTTGAATAATCCTGATAATAAGATGGTCCCGATCAAATCTCACTGGTTTTTTTCTGTAATGATGTGAAACCATGATTGTTGACATCTTGAAAAACACATTTTAAACATCAACAGTTCCAAACATGGAAAACTTAACTGAAATATTACAAGATGTATTTCGAGTAAACCTTTAGTGCCATGTAATTAAACTTATTTTTTTCTAGAGTTATCACCCCTGAACATAGAGTTTAAAGAATCTGTCAGTTTACGCATTTTTGTCGATTTTGATACGCTTGTTTATCTAGCAGGCTATTGAATTTAACTTTGGACGTCAGCCGTGATTAACTAATATACTGGCGGAGGAATCCAGGTCGCACCGACACACCAAATATAAAAGAATTTAATTGAAATTTTATTTATAGAAAATAGACCGACATGTGTCCTAATTTATCGACATACTTAGGAAGAAATCACTAGCATCCGGATAGATCAAACGTTCCAAATTTGTAAGGGAAATAACTCAGAATTTACCTACCAAGTAAACTGCGTGATACTTGTCCCGTTTGCATAACTGATGCGAAATA